TATCTCGCTAGCAGCCTCGCACCAAGGACCTATCCACGTCATCATTTACCCAGAATGCTTTGCATGCAAATAAAATGGCCCCATCAGAGTAATGTATTTTTAAACTTTTAGTTTAAAAATTATAAAAACTAAACAGTCTACAGTATTTTACAGTCTTTATTATACACTATAAATATATGTTTATTAAATTAAGTCTAATGTTACAACTAATAGTGGATCCTCTTAAAATTGACTGATATTGAGCTAATTTCTGATGTGGTAGCAGAAGAGTCATCATCAGTWTATAATCCAAGCATTAACAAGTTTCAGAGAATTCACAATATTGTGTGGGAATGTGCAATTTTGTCATTTATGAGGTTTTACTTGAACGACTACAACTCTGTTCATCATAAGGGGATCTTTTTACCACTTTATCATAAAAGGTAGTGGGCAATATGCAGATTCCTTTCATTTCAAAAGCATCAACTCATCAAGTCACTGGTACTGTATACAGAATACCCTCTGTGTAATCTAATCATCAGACCCTCTGTTTGTCCATGTTTGCAGGTGTAAAGGAGCCTCCCACTATGGGCTCTCAGCAGACAGGAAGCGACGCTCACAGGAGGGCGAGTGCACTGACAGCACATCAGAGCTTAATATCGCCACCATGCCTAATGACAGCCCCACCTCCGCTGCTGTGGCTCTCCTGTCAGACGAGCCTGGCCTGGTCAACCCAGCTTTTGACCCCAGCATGGAGGACAACAGTCGGTCAGGCAGTATGACCAGCTTGGCCGCTCGCAGCAGCACCAAGAAGAGTGAGTGTAAATAGAAGTAATGTTTGAGTGTGGTTGTGTTCAGTCCAGGGGCGGTTCTAGGGGCGGGGTCACAGGGGCATTGGCCTCTGCTGAAATCTGATTGGCCCCCTGAAGTGCCCCGTCCTGTCACTCATCTGTCCTTTGCCTGAGAGCAATGATGTTGGGTGCAGTTCCATGCCCAAACTCTAGAGGCACTAATGAGTCAAACAGTAAAGTCCAGCATGAATCAATCMTACAGCAGTCTTCTTCTCTTCTTTAAAAGACTTGAACAATTTTGCAAAAAAATATCTTTCAACTGGCAAACAATGGCTTCATTTTCTCACATGCTTTGAGAATATTTTATCCATGTACAGTAAAAAATGCATGTAAAATTGATGCGGAAGCTTTTTTAATAACATTACATTACGTTACAATTGTTGGAACATATGTGACCAGATAAATTTACACACCTTACCAAAACCGAGGATTTATGTGGAAGGATGTTGAACAAATACTTGGCCCTTCTGAGTATTGTGGCCCCTTACTCAGGAAAATCCTAGCTCCACCACTGTTCAGTCGTGAGAAAGGTAGAACATTAGACTGAGCTTTACAAAGAACTCAGTTCAAAAAATTTAAACACATTTGTGGTGATTATTCAATCCCAAATACAGTCTTTGTTCTGTCTAATGGTCTCTGATAGGAATCCTATCAACCAATTAGCTCTGCTAGCCTTTTCCCCCTACTAATCCATAAGATTTCTCTTTGTGGGGAAGAGGAGAGATACAAAGAGAGAAAGTCAAAGGGAAGGATTGCACACAGTGCAGTAAAGGAGAGCAGGTTAAAAATACAGATGCTTCTGTAAGTGATGTGATCTGAACCCTCCCATCATTTCTTCCACCTGTAATACCACGAGGGAGTCCTGATTGTTTCTTTCAGCCCTCCGACTAAAGCAAGTGCTTGGGCCACCAAATGGCACTGCAGCAGCACTTTAGGCTCAGCCTGCTGAGCACCCACCACCATAACTGAGAGTGCTGCAACTGCTGAACAAGCTGTCAGCTCCAGCAGCCGCTGGCYCTTTTTAAAGAATAATGTGGCTGTCAGYAGCCCTCGCATCTCCCTTGCCCCGTACAGGGAGGGAGCTGTGCTGCAGAGGCTCTGTGCTCTGAGCAGCTGAGCCGGGGCAGCTCCCTCTGCCACTGCAGCCACCTGTAGACCTGAAAGCAAAGGATCAGGCAGGAGCCTCTGCAGGCAGGCCAATTTTGGACCTAGCCTCTGGAGTCTTTACTGAGTTACATCACTTCTGTAGTTGTGCAATCATGTTACTATATACAGCTCTCAGAAATAGTTAATCATTCAAAGAGGCACGAGTTGAAAGCAGCCTCTCTGTATATAAGAAAAAAATGTTTTAATTGACTTTGAAAGTTGCTCAGGAAATAAAAGTTGAAAGATATTGTCTAAAAAGTGAAGAAACAACCTATTTTCAGTGGTGGGCACCAGTCTGCCAAAGTGCTAATTGCGGAGCTAAATATTTCATTTGCACTTTAGCTGTCTTACTAATTTTTCTAATTCAAAAGCGGATTTGCGCTTCTTAAAATTAAAATGTAGTACCACTAATAACTAATTATCTACCAGTCATCATTATGTTGAACAGTGGAGGGTATAGCTGTCAATGAATAACATGTGATCTGTCCAACAGCACCTCTCCCAGAAAAACACACTTATTGGAAAATTATACATCTTGCTGACTGTTGCATTCGGTCACGGTTCTCATTTCCCACAATGCTTTGTGTCTGCTTACGTAGCAGGAGGGCAATAGCAAAAAAAGTAAACATTTGTAATCCATATTAAAAAAATGTATGTATTGATTTATTTTACTTTTCAATCGGAGCTCCTTTTTTWAAAAAAATTAAAGTTTAAAGGCTGGAGCTCAATACTTGARGTAATGGGTCAAAGCAATCCACCAACGGGTTTAGACWGACATCTAATGGTCAACTGGAGCAACTACATGGAAAACTTTCATTTCCTGTCACAAATCAAATCCGTCATGTACCCAGAATGCATCACTTCAGTTTTCCAATAAACAGTTTTAAATTACTTTATTGATGCTTCTTTAATGAAAAATCTGCAACAAACAAAAGAAAAAGACAAAGAAGCAGCCGAACTAGCAATCCTCAACGTTTTAATTTTTACACCAGGAGCTAAAGTTCTGTTTCAGGAAATCACATCCCCAGCAACCGGTGGTTGTAGGATGAAGCTGTACAAGGGTTCATACACCGCTAGTTGGCAGTGTTGTACATACTGTATATTGTACATGAATTATTGCCAGCTAGTAAGTATCAAATTGAACTTGCATTTTGAAATTAGCTTCCGCTAGTTTTTCTACGGGATAAGCATTTTTGAAGTTGCGGATCTAAATATTGTCATAAGCGCTTTAGAAATTGCAGAGCTAATTTTTGGGTTAGCGCTGCTCAACACTGCTTATTTCATTTACTATAGTGATTTGGCATGTTTTAAAATTAATTTGCCACTTCAGTATCAGGTCAAAAATATTCAACCGAGTTCCTTTAGTACCTTAAAATGTGCACCGGTTTTCACCAAAGGCTCTGCACTTTTTCTCACACTGATTAACTGTACTTTGAGTCAGTACTGTGGAATTAACAACAGAAATGTGTAGTATTTTTCTGCCAGATAACCACTAAGAGYTGGAGTTGAAAGTTGGTGCTGGACCAACCAGAGTGCAGATTTCACCACACTTAACATGAAGTTTATGCTTGCTATTTTCTCACACAGCAATGCATGTAAAAGTTGTTAGAGTAGCTGTGGTACCTGAGGGTTTGTTGTTGTCTGGTCACTCACCTGTTGAATTTTTAATGATAAATTCACTCAAACACGTGGCGTAAACAAAGAACCAGATGTCTGATTCTATATTTATCCCTGAATCTTGGGTAAAATGGTAACTGTGAGACTTTGAGACTTTGCTCAAAACAAAGTCTTTGTCTTTCACATTGTAAAGGTCACTGAATCAGGATCACCTGAAAGGACAGTGAGGAGTTTCCTGGATTGTGCTGTGTATATTTCAGTTGTATATATCTACAGTCTGAATAATATTTATATTGTTGTAAATAAAATTTGTGTCGTTAGAGTGCTAAGGAGTTTTTAGGAATTTTATGGATTTAAGAAAGTCCATATACAGGTAGACATCTGAAGGGCATGACTTGCATGTGTTTGTGATCTGTCACATGCTGAAACAGAAAAAGCAACTAAGCAGGATGTGGCAGTAGGTTCATTTTTACAAACGTCAGCATCACTGACTAAGATCTAAGATGGTAAAACATTAATTTAATTCAATTCAATTCAGTTTATTTATATAGCGCCAAGTCACAACAACAGTTGTCTCAGGGCACTGTACACAAAAAATAAATAAATAAATAAGAAGCCAGCAGATTGTGTTGAATCACTTCATCACAGTCTCCCATCCTGAGCAAACGGTGGAGAGGAAAAACTCCCTGCTAATCAGGAAGAAAGCTCCAGCAGAACCAGGCTCAGGACAGGAGNCTCCCATCCTGAGCAAACGGTGGAGAGGAAAAACTCCCTGCTAATCAGGAAGAAAGCTCCAGCAGAACCAGGCTCAGGACAGGAGACCATCTGCCTCGACCGGCTGGGTTGGAGGACAGGAAAGAGACACAGACAAACACAGAAGAACTGGTCCAGGTTTATTTTCCTCTGGAAGGGAGACAAAGAAAACACATGTTATTTATAGAAGTAATTATGTATAACAAACATGTGGAGGAGAGAGATTAAAGATAACAGCAGAGTGAGGAAATGTACTCAGTTTGTCCTCCAGTGGTCTWAAGGTCCCCAGATAATCAGYCGTACTTCGGTCCGCGGAGGTCCGCGCGGACTCAAAGCGGACTCTACGCGGACCTGAGGCAGACGTCCGCAGGACTGGTTTGCGCAGAGATCAATTCTTTACATCCTCGTCCGRGGTGCGCACTGGCGAGCACTGTTTTGGATGCGACACCAAGCAGATAATGTTGAGAATCGGTGTCATTCGTGGACGAAATGGAGTCAAATTTTAAAGGGCGTCTCACGGAGGAGATTAGAAAACTTTATGACGCGTCAATGAAGGAATATAAGGATTTTCAGCGAGCAACAAATTTGTGTGAGGAAATGGCTCTGATCCTGGGTAAGATAGTCATTTTCTTTTTTCTTTTTTTGTTGTTCTAAAGCTAAAATGCAAACTATCACTTCCTCCTCATCTTTGAAATCATGACTGAAATTGCAAGAAATTAAAGAATTTGTCAGGCGGTCAGTARGCTCGATTATGAAGTCTCAAACATTTGCGGACAATATGCGCGGAGCCCGCATGACTCACAGACCGCACACAGTATGCCTGAGTATGTGGGAGCCTTTAGTCTATAGCAGCAGAACTGATTAATTCAATTCAAATTCAAATTCAAAAATACTTTATTGATCCCAGAGGGAAATTAGGTAAAACTATAACAACTAAGGAATAAGTCAGGAAACCTAAGTGTAATTATAGTGTAAGAAATATTCGTGTTCAAAGACTGAAGTCAATAGAAAACCACCAATGTTAAATAATATGATTGTTAGACGGAATAAAATCA